TTTTTGGTCTTTTTGAGACAGGGTCTCCCTGTAGCCCCAGCTGTCCTGGAACTTCCTATGTAGACCAGGCTGGCCTCAAACTCACAAAGATCCATCTGCCTCTGCCTCCCAAGTGCTGGGATTAAAGGCATGTGCCACCATGCCCAGCAATTTCCTATATTTTTACAGTTAATACCAACAGTTGAAATTCCATTTCTGTTTAATCAGTAAGGATTGTGTGGCAAATGAGATCCTTTTGACTCATAAATTAAATGGGTCCAGTGATAGGACCCTCACATCCCCAGTTTTAGAAAAATAGCTTGGTTTGGCCAACTGCCAGGGGATTGATTACAGACTAACTGCTGGCTACAGTCCTCTCCTGAGCCCACAGCTGGTTACTGGTGGAGATGAGTATATCACCTTGGAGCCTGGGCTTGTGGTCTATGCTCAGGGGCCTGGGAAGCCAGGGAAAGCTGTCAAAATGCAATCATTTTGAGTCAGTTTTACATAAAACTAACATAAATCACAGCTAAACCAAAGAGCACCTGGCGGCTTACCCTATGTCACTGTCATCTGCCAGTCACACATGGATCTGGCTCAGCCTCACATCCTCTCCTCCTTGCCACCTGACAGCCTCCTCAGCAACTCCTGAGTAGGAACTAGGTCTCCAGGGACTCTGATATAGCTAAGTAAGATTTTCTCTGTTTCAGGATGTTGATCTGAACCACTATCGTATTGGAAAGATTGAAGGCTTTGAAGTACTAAAGAAAGTGAAGGTGAGAAGGGTCTGTCCTCGCATACAAGGTGACTCTGTGACACTTACTTGGAGGACATGCACAGTCGTTTCCATCCTGTGGATAGTGCTGGCCATGTTCTCACATCTCCGTTCTGAATGGGTTAAGGAACTTGGGCCTGCCTCGCCTCTGAGCCTGCCTCAGTGAGCTTGTAGTCTCCTGTCCTTAGCTCACTGCAATTACATTTGCTTCTCAAAATAGAGCCTAATAAAGCTTCCTCCATCTGCCAGGACTTGGCCTATACTTCAACCCCATTTGAGGACTCCCTCCCCAAGCAGGCGTGTTCAGTGTGGAGTCTGTTTGGGTCTCCACGTGTCCTCAAGTTGTGTTAGGGTGATTCCAGCTTTGTACTCTCACTCACTTACCCCTTGAAGGTCAGCATCCTTCTCAGAAACAAAATATACCTTCCCTGTGGAGTGCTGGTCCCATGTTCTCCTTTGCTGATGCCACTCCACTCTTCCCATCCTCTAGTCCCTCTGCCTGCGTCAAAACTTAATTAAGTGCATTGAGAACCTGGAAGAACTACAGAGTCTACGAGAACTGGATCTCTATGATAATCAGATCAAGAAGATTGAGAATCTGGAGGCGCTGACAGAATTGGAGTGAGTTGGAGACCCAGAGGAGATGGTTGGGTGGGGGTCACCAGACTCCCCAGAACCAACTCCTTGCATCACCCTGGCCCTTAAGAGCTGCTTCTGATCAGGGTCCTGCCCCACACTGGGACTTAAGAAGGACAGCTTCATACATGGTATTGGCTTGCTGGGCAATCTTAACTGGAACTAGGCTTCTTACTGGATTCTATTCCAGGATGGTGTCAAAATCAGGAAGAAAGGATCCTTAATCCAGAATTTGCTTTTTTGTTTTTGTTTTTTGAGACAGGGTTCCACTGTAGCCCCAGCTGACCTTGAACTCACTGTGTAGACCAGGCTGCCTGGATCTCACAGAGGTCTCCCTGCCTCTGTCTCCTGAGGGCTGAGATTAAAGGCATGTACCATGCCCAATCAAGAATTCTCTTTTTAAAACAAATATAACAGCAACATTTCTGTTTGAAGGAGTTAGCTTTACGTGGTTCTCTATCCCTTTGTTGCTTGCTGAATTTTCATTGTTTTTGTTTAAGACAGTAGCCTAGGCTGAGCTTAAACAACTATGTAGCTGAAGATAATCTTGAAATTCTGATCTTCATACATCCCCTTCTCCAGTACTGGCATTATAGACTTGTGCCACTACCCCTAGCTGATTTTTTCAGTTCAACATTGTTCAGACCCTTTCTGGGTGTAGTATCTGCTCTAGGTCCTGCCATGGACACAGGCAAGAATGAAACCTTGTTTCTGCTCTTTAGTAGAGCCCTACGAGACAATGTCTAGTGCCCGCAGGCTGCCTCTGCTGCCCTGCAGGCAGCCTCACTCCTAGGACAGCTTCAGTGTGAGCCAGTCAGATCCCACCTCCTAGGGACTGCAGACCCTGGGGCAGCTATTCCCTGGAAGTGGAATTCTGAGTATTTGAAAATATTCAAAAAAAATATTTTGTTTATTCCCAGGATTCTAGATATTTCTTTTAATCTGCTGAGGAACATTGAAGGGATTGACAAATTAACCCAACTGAAAAAACTCTTCTTGGTCAACAACAAAATCAATAAAATTGAGAACATAAGCAACTTACATCAACTACAGATGCTGGAGCTAGGATCTAACCGGATCCGGGTAGGTACAGGTGGCAGTTTGCGTGTCCTTGGAACACACTGGGCTGTGTGAACCTGCGGCGGTACACATAGGGTGTGTGCTCGACTGGGTTTTTCTTATACTGGTATGATTTGGGGGAAACGGAAAAACACTAGCTGGAAGGCAGTGTTAACAAGCACTGTACCCACACGAGTGCTCTCTAACTCTGCACTTCCCTGTCATTTGCTCTTGATCGTGGTCCTGGACCAAGCCAGTCCCAGCTGTGCTCTACAAGGTGACCCAGCCAAGCTTTCCCTTTTCTTTTTTTTTTTTTTTTTGGTCTTTTTTGAAATAGGGTCTCCCTGTGGCCTCAACTGTCCTGGAACTCACTATGTAGACCAGGCTGGCCTTGAACTCACAGAGATCCACCTACGTCTGCCTCCCGACTGCTGGTTAAAGGCGTGCGCCACCACGCCCAGCTGAATGAGAGACTTAAAAAGCAATATGGTGTTCCATAAAAACAAAACCAAGGGGCTGGAGAGATGGCTCAGTGGTTAGGAGCACTGACTACTCTTGCAGAGGACCTGGGTTCAATTTCCAGCACCCACATGGCAGCTAACAACTGTCCTTAACTCCAGTTCCAGGGGAATCTGAAACCCTCTTCTGACCTCCGAGGCATTGCATGACACAGGTGCACTCACATACATGCAGGCAATACACTCATACACATAAAAATAAAAAGAAAATATTTTTTAAAAACTGTCTTTTATCAGCTGACTCATAACTACTGGGAAAAGTGCCTTGTATCCGAAAAAGAGGAACCTCCGAGGGTCATATAGGTGCTGGTATTAGAAGATGATCTGACAAGCTAAGGAGGGAGGCTCCCCAAATGTACAAATAATGAGGTTTCTGTAAACTGGAAGACTGTACGGATCCAAATCTGACATCCTTATTGTGTCATGGTGTTGAACCTGTCTTTTCCCACCTTGGTTCCTGGCTGAATCAGGAACCCCATGTTTGAAGCACCCTCCGTTTGGGGTTTGGAAGTTACTGTAGCATCCTGGCCTGCTCTGCTGGTTCACTGAGAGCTAGGTAGGATGCAAAGCCAGGGGTGACTAGAGGAGCAGATAGCAACAAAGAGAAGCAAAGGAAGAGGAATGGAGCTGGCCAGGGGCATCCCTCATGGGCATCCGAGGTCTCCCTGGTGGGCAGCCTGGAGTCTGGAGAAGGAATGGGGCTGGCCAGGGGCATCCCTTGTGGGCATCCGAGGCCTCCCTGGTGGGCAGCCTGGAGTCTGGAGGATGAATGGAGCTGGCCAGGGGCATCCCTTGTGGGCATCCCAGGGTCTGAAAGACTGGGTCACAGATTCCAGTAAGTATCTCACTTCTGTAAAGGCCTGGGTTCATAGAAATGCGTATTATCAAAGACTAGGACAAGGTGCTACCTCAGGCTAGAGAACTTGGGTAGTTCTATGGGTTTTCAAACAACTCTAGAGCTCTGATATTGTGACAGTTGGGAATGAGCCCAGGATGACAAGGTTGTGGACCCTCTTCATTTTCCTGCTTTTTTATACTTTATATTCCAGGGAAATTTCATTGGAAAACTCTCAGTGCCCAGGACCTCAGAGCTGAAGTCCAGGCACCTTGGTACAGGTTGCTGGCCACAGACCTAACTATTGCTCCATCTGTTTCACAGGCAATTGAAAATATTGACACATTAACCAACCTGGAGAGTTTGTTTCTGGGGAAAAACAAAATTACAAAACTTCAGAACCTGGATGCACTTACCAATCTGACAGTCCTCAGTATGCAGGTACCACACATCCCCAGCGCCCGTCTTTTCCTTCCCACAGGACTGGACCCACCACACCCAGCCTGCTATTATCCCTTACTATGTCTAGGATCAGCAGTGTTTTACCATTAGTAGATGACCAAAAATTAGAGTCCACAGACTTTATACATACACATACATGCTAAACAAAAATTCCATTCTTTCTGTATAATTTATTTTTACTTTTAAGAATGTCATTCCTGGCCAGGCATGGTGGTGCATGCCTTTAATCCCAGCACTCAGGAGGTAGAGCTAGGGCTACAGGGAGACCCTATCTCAAAAAGACCAAAAAAAAATGTCATTCCTGCCAGGCGTGGTGACGCACCCCTGTAATCTCAGGAGATTAAAGGCAGAGGTGGGCGGATCTCTGTGAGTTAAGGCCAGCCTGGTCTACATAGTGAGTTCCAGGCCAGCTGGGACTACAGGGAGACCCTATCTCAAAAAGCATGCAAAAAAAAAAGAAAGAAATGTCATTCCTGGGGGTGGAGAGGTGGCTCAGTGGTTAAGAGCACTGGCTGCTCTTGCAGAGGACTGGGATTTGGTTCCCAGCACCCACATGGTGGCAAACACCCATCCTTAACTCCAGTTCCAGGGGATCTGACACCTTCTTATGGCCTCCTAGGGCATTACACACACATGATGCACTTATATACACATAGGCAAAACACATACTAATAAAATGAAAGTTAATTTTAAAAACTAAAACTTCCTAAAATGTCATTCCTTTACCTTTTGGCAATTGAGTAATGAGGTGGATTTCACAGCCATCTTCAGAAGGGTGAGCTCACCCTCAGACCTCTCAAGTGTCTACTCAGTGCTGGAAGCTCTCCCTCGACATTACACAGTGTGCAGCACTAGAGTGTGCATAGGTGTGTGTTGACCTTTTTTGCTGGCAGCAAATTATGGAATAAGACCTTGAGAGGAGACGGGACTGGGTACACCTGGGATACCTGGTTTAGCAGGTCCCATCAACGGCCAGTTATGACTTAGAAAACTGCTCAGGCCCTGTATAAAATAGATGCCATGTAGACTGCTTTGGAAGAGAGTTCTTAAAGTTTAATTGATTTGTAAGATACTCTCAAGGAAAGGAAAATTGATTTTCAAAAGTTTGAGGATAGAGATATGGCTCAGTGGGTAAAGGTGCTTGCCTGATAACCTGATTTGACCCCAGTTCCCACATAGTGGAAGGAGAGAACCAGCTCCTGAAAGTTGTCCTCAGTGTGTGTGCCTCCATATGCGCGCACACACACTGAGTGAAATTTTTTTTTAATTTTTAAAATATTTGACAGTAGCTGGGCATGGTGTCACGTGCCTTTAATCCCAGCACTTGGGAGGCAGAGGCAGGCGGATCTCTCTGAGTTCGAGGCCAGCCTGGTCCACATAGTGAGTTTAATCTTTCTTTTGAGACAGGGTCTCCATGTCGTCCCAGCTGGCTAGAATTCGCCATGTAGACCAAAACTGGCCTCGATCTCACAGAGATCCACCAGTGTCCAAGAATGCTAGGATTAAAGGCATGCACCACCATGTCCAGTAAGTTAGTAAACCTTCCAGTATGTCTAAAAAGATATTTCCTTATAAAACCATGAAATTCCATGTATGCATAAGCCCATTACAACAGAGTCAAATTTTGGATTTTCTTCTCAATTCCCATTCAAACACATTTTACATGAAATATCTGTTCTTAGGGTTCTTTAATGGGAACCTCATTTCTAATCTAACCCTTTGTGTGCCTGACAGCTCTTCTTTCTCTTTTTTCTTTTTGTGTGGCATGCATATGTGTATGTGCATGTTTGTGTGTCTGTGTGTGCCTGCCTCTATACATGTGTGAACATGCTTGTGGAGGCCCAAGGTGTGTGTGTGTATGTGTATGAATATGTTTGTGGAGACCCAGGGTGTGTCTATTTCTGTGTGTGTCTGTGTAAGCATGCTGTGGAGGTCCAGGGTGTGTGCGTTTCTGTGTATGTGTGTGGGTGTGCTTGTGGCGACCCAAGGTGTGTGTGTGTCTGTGTACATGTGTAGGGTTGATGTCAGGAATCGTACTTGATCACTCTTCCACCTTATTCCGTGAGGCAGGATCTCTTGGTCAAACCCAGAGCTCATCAGTGGTCTAATCTTACTAGCCAGCTTGCTCTGGGGATCCCCTGTCTCTGCCTTCTGCAGCTGGAATTACAGGAGGGATATACATCCACCTGGCATTTATGGGGGTTCTGGGCTTCTAAACTCAAGTTGTCAAGCTTGAGTGCAAGTGCTTTAACCACTGAGCACTCTCCTCAACCCCAAGGCTGATACCTCTTCACTCCCTTCTGCAGAGCAACCGGCTAACGAAGATTGAGGGTCTGCAGAGCCTGGTGAACCTTCGAGAGCTATACCTCAGCCACAATGGCATTGAGGTCATCGAGGGCCTGGAGAACAACGTAAGAGCCTGTTGGTCTATCTTCTAAGGGGGGCCTGGGGGTGGGGCTGGAAGCGAGCATCCACTGCCCACCAGGCCTGGCCTCGGGTGAACACACTGTCTCCAGGGCTTTATCATAGAAGATTTGCCATCCTGAAAACAAAGGGAAGTGCACAAGATATGAACCAAGGACCCTCTGCCTAGTGTGTCCAGATGCCAGCACACCCTTTCTGCCTGTGGGTTTTCAACACAAATATCAGAGATACTCTCCTACAGCAGCTCACTGCACATCTTCCATGCACACTAGGCCTTCTGGGAAGTTTGAAAAATCTGTACCTACTCTACCCTTATACCACACAGGGAGCTAGCATCAGCACTGCTCCCCCCCCACCCCCAGACACTGAACTTCCTGCCCTGCTTCAGCCCCCACTCCCAGCCTGCAAGGGCTGCAGGATAAGCTCAGCTCCTTAGAACGAAGCAGCATGGTTCTGCTCTCCTTGCACTCTCCTAGAGACTGGAGTACTGAAGTTTTCCTCCTCTTCCCTCCTCCTCCCCGCTGCTGTTCACCCTCCTGTCCTATCGCTCCCAGCCTTCCCACTCAAGAATAACATGCTAACAGTTGCCTCCAGCCCCACCTGATTTTCCTCCAAACACAATTCAAGACAAAAATAAAATACTTTCTCTTGTTTAATTTTACTGGGGTGTTATTTGGTTTGGTTTGGGGAGATTGGTTTTATGGATTTTGGCTTGGGTTTTTTTGGTTGCTGTTTTTGTTTAGTTAATTTACCAACAAATATGGCAGATGGGTCAGTTCTTTGTTCCTGGGAACATCAAGCTTCAATCTCATCATAGGTTCCTTTGCCTTTTCTGCCTCAGCCTAGGACCTGATCACCATCTGTGATGCCATTCTAGAAGAAAACCAGTGTTCTGAGTTTCAGTTCATCAACATGTATAGGAAATTTTGAAAAAGCTAGAATTCACCTGTTTGAAGTTTGGTCACCTTTCTCCAACTTTGCAGTCAAATTAAGAATTTAAATCCAGGGGCTGGAGAGAGGTGGCTCAGCAGTTAAGAGCACTGGCTACTCTTGTAGAGAACCCAGGTTCAGTTTCCACCCACATCGCAGCTCCATCCGTAACTCCAGTTACATGGGATCCAACACCCTCTTTCTGACCTCCAAGGATATTGCACTACTTGGTACGCTTACATGCATGGAGGCAAAACACATAAATTCAAAATTTTCTTTAAAAATTTAGTCCAGCATGTAAAGTCAAGCACGACAGCACATACCTGTAATCTCAGCACTTGGAGGTGGAAGCAGGAGGATCAGGAGTTCAAGTCCAACCTTGACAGTGAGTTTGAGGTCAGCTTAGGCAACATATGACTCTGACTCTCTCTCGAGCACCTTAGGCTCTCTCTCTCTCTCTCCCTCTCTCTCGCACACACACACACAGACAACCAGCGTGTGAACTTCGATAGTACATAATGAGTTGAGGGAGAAGGTGGAGGCTGTGATAGGAGCCAGGGGACTGTAGGTGGCCTTGAGGCTGGGCAGGGTGACATACTGGCAGGGAGCACCAGTCAGCCCCTGTTCTCCACAGGCAACAGCCCCCACATGTAGCAGTCTGTCTTCAAACAGGAAAGAAGCAAGAGTGCAGAAGCCTACCTGGGCCTGTTGCACCTCATCTTGGTTAAACTTGTGTCATTCCTGGGCCTCTGAAACAAAACCAAACAAAAATTACTGGGGCAAAGATAACTTATTTTTAATGTTCATCATGATCAAATGTAACAATTTTTTCAGATTTTTTTCATCAGCTGTTAACACTTAATTTTCTCCCAAGTTTTACCAGACAATCAGGAATTTTTGTGTGAGAGAAAAAGGAGCACACTTTCCCAAGTAGCAAATGCACTGTCACTGTTCCACTGGTTTGGTTGCTCCTCAGTGTCCTGTGGTGTCTGTCTAACACATGTGGCTCTTTTATAACCTGGCTTTTCCTTTCATTGACCTAAAATAAGTTTGTGCCAACACTTCAGCTAGGTTTCTTAAAAAGCCATGACCTGTGATGCATACGCACTGCCCGTTCTACCCACTGTTTGTTCGAAGCAATTCTTGCTTCCTTATTTTGGTTTGGGTTTTCTGGGGGTTTTGTTGTTGCTGTTGTTGTTTGAGACAGGGTCTCCCTATAGCCCAGCTTGCCTGGAACTCAGTATGTAGACCAGACAGGCTTCAAACTCACAGAGATCCACCTGTCTCTGCCTCCCCAATGTTGGGATTAAAGGTGTGCACCACCACTTTTGCTTGCTTTTGAATGAGCATTCAAATCCTCATCACACTCAAGAGGGGCTTGAGTATATAACTAGATCTCAGGTCAGAAAGGTTAGAGACCAGTCCTGACAGCTGATGTCCATCACCAGCATCAGGTGCTGCCCTGGTGCTGAGCCTTTGTGCTTAGACTTCACTAGAATCAAATCTATGTCTTTCAGGCTACTTCTGTTTTACCAGTTTGAAGGCTTACACACAGTTTGACCACCACAGGACAATCACAGAGTGGGCCTGGTCTGTCCCAGCTCTGCCACTGTATCCTCAGGCTGCTCACAGTCCCTTTATCTGTACATTTCTCCTAAAGCCATTTTTGGCTCTGACGCCTTCTGAACTGCTGAGTGGGCACACTAACACTCCGTGCGCTAGGATCAGAAGTGACTGAATAAGATGGTCAGAAGGAGCTTCCTCTTCCATTAGATACAGCACAGGGACTGAGTACCTTGCTGAAGATAGCACTCTTACCTGTGCACATCTGTGGCTCAGTCAGTGCTCATGGCATGTGTGTCTCTGTGTACCGCAGTGATGCTTGTATGGGACCGGGAGGCAGGTGGAATGGTGCTGGGGACCCTCAAGGGACTTGGAGGCCGCAGCCATGACAGTTCTTATTTTCTTTTTTTTTTTTTCTTTTGTCTTTTTTGAGACAGGGTCTCCCTGTAGCCCTAGTTGTCCTGGAACTCACTATGTAGACCAGGCTGGCCTTGTGCTCACAGAAATCCCCCTGCCTCTGCCTCCCGAGTGCTGGGATTAAAGGGGTGTGCCACCACGCCCGGAGGCTAGGTGGCTTTTAAACAACAGGAATTCATGTCTCCTCACAGAAATCCCCCTGCCTCTGCCTCCCGAGTGCTGGGATTAAAGGGGTGTGCCACCACGCCCAGCGACATTTTTAAGTTTTACTTTATGAGTTTTGCCTGCATGTAAGTAAGTGCACCACTGGAGTTACAAATAATGGTTGCTAGTCAACATGTGAGCTCTGGGAACCAAACCCGAGTCCTCTGCAAGAGCAACCAATGCTCTTAAGCACTAAGCCATCCCTCCACACCTGCCATGCATTTTCTTAATCAATAGAGCCACTGACTGTGTGTTTGATTTTTTTTTTTTTTTAACCATTAAAACTTGAGGGGAAAAAAAAACTTGGAATCAGGATACCAGAAATGCAATAGAAAGCAAACAGAAGTGCTAGGAGGCCCCAGGGCAAAAGAGGGAAGAAACTTGTCTAGCGCCCAGCTAGCTCTGAGGGATTCCTAGGGAGCCTAGGAAAATGTGCCAGAGTTTGTTAAACACTGGCAAGCAGTGTAAGCTCCAGTAGACTTAATTTTCACTATGAAATTTTTCTGTTGAATCTTGAAACTATATACTTTAAAACCATTACCCAATCTGAGCCAGATGTGTTTCAGGAAGCATCTGGCAGGCACCTTTAGAGAAGATCATAGGTCACAATGCTGTGTCCTGCTGAATATTCAATGTACTCTGGACTTCATCTTCAGTGGCTGAGATTCCACTTGCCCTTGTCATAAATCCCAGAGGCCAGGTGTGGTGGCACACACCTGTAGTCCCAGCACTCGGGAGGCAGAGGCAGGTGGATCTCTGAGTTTGAGGCCGGCCTGGTATACAGTGTGAGTTCCAAGACAGCTGGGGCTACAGGGAGATCCTGTTTCAAAAAGACCAAAAAATAAATAAAAACATCTCTCAAAATCATTGCCGGGTGTGGTGGCACATGCCTTTAAATCCCAGCACTTGGGAGGCAGAGGCAGGTGGATCTCTGAGTTTGAGGCCAGCCTGGTTTACATAGCGAGTTCCAGGCCAGCTAGGGCTATAGGGAGACCCTGTCTCAAAGAGACAAGGAAAAAAAAATCCCAGAGGCCACAACACTGGCTCTTCCCTAGGCCTTCCTGATATTACCTCAGGTAGCTTTACCCCAGACAGAAGGGCCTCTGGTTGAACAATGGACTTAAGGCCTACAGTACCTCTTCCCACCTCTACCGGGCAGTGTATTACCCTCACTGAACCCCGAGTTCTCTGTTCCCCCGAAGACAGGACTTCCATTGGAATTTGGCAATATGAAAGACATGCTACTACTATTGTATTGCTACCAACTTCAAAACAGGTTTGCTGTTCTTCCCAGGGCTGTGGGGAAAGGACCATGGGTCTTACTGGGGTCCTCAGTGGATCTGAGGCCTGACCAAATTCCAGTGAGAGCTCAGTGAGGTCATAAGCAGAAACACTGAAACATGTTCAGCCGGGAGGCTACAAGAAGGGGGTTAGGTAGTATTAGACTGCGCTGCATCAAAGCTGATCCAAGGCAGAGAGGGTGGCTGGCCTGTAGCCTTCAGCTCAAGCTAAACTTCACATTGTGCATCTGGTCACATGCCACCTTTGAAGTTTAATGCAGCAGAATTTTTATTTCTTTATTTTAGAACAAACTCACGATGTTGGACATTGCATCAAACAGAATAAAAAAGATTGAAAATATCAGCCATCTAACAGAACTGCAAGAGTTTTGGGTAAGTTTTATGTTCACTGGGATTGGTAGCTCTAGCTAAATGCATCCCATTAAGCAAAACGGGTGAATAAATGCAGGTCTTCTGATCCTAGAAGTCTTGGTACTGAGTGAACCTGGCACATGGTAACTGTGAGTTTGCATTGGACTTGTCTATGGCCGTACTTCTCAGAGTGGGAGCCTCACATCTACAGCATCTGCAGACCTGGTAGGCTTGTCAAAAGTGCAGTCTCCCTCCATCTCCCAGGCATTCTCTTCACTTTGCCTCAATTCTGGATGATCATAATGTATGTGAACAGTTTAGAAGTCCTGATTTTCTGTGGTTCAGCCCTAAAGCTGTCCCAGGACTAAAGATTTTCAAACCCCGGTAGAGGGGCAACTACATTCTGAGCAGATACCTCCAGCACAACAGAAGGGATGTTAAGGTTGAAGCTCAGTTGACAGTGTGCTTGCCTAGCTTGTATGAAGCCCTTGGTTCGATCCCCAGCACTGCATAAACTGGGCATAGTGGTACACACCTAGAAGCCTAGCAGCACTCGGGAGGTAAGAGGCAGGAGGATCAGGAAGTCAAAGTCATCCTCAGCTATATAGCAAGTTCAAGGCCAGTCTGGGCTATGTGAGATCCTGTATCAAAAAAAAAAAAAAAAAAAAATGGACTATTGAGTGGGTTTCTACAGTAAGCCACCTTGGAATTCTCCTTGGATTGTTGTCATGGCTCTGCTGAGGCTTTGCTAGAGGTGCTATGGGGAAAGTAGGGAGAGAACTGAATGGGGAAAGAAGTCTTTGCAACTTAAAGGGTTGTGAAATAATCACCAAGTTGAAGTCTCCAGCATTAAGGCTTTACATCAAGAAGTTCTTAGGCACATGGTCCCTGCAGGGATTGTGGCACTTGACACCCTGGGCTGCTACAGATTGAAATGCTGTCCTCAAGATGCAGTCATCCTGATTCAAGATTTGTGCCAAGTCCAAGGCATGAGTCCTCCTTACCACTGGCCCTGTTATCCTGTGTTTTCCTATCTTAAAAGCTCACTCAAGTTCTCTAGACTACAAATGGCCTGCAGTGAAAATTTCTCTCCCCACTCATTAAGAGCAGTGGATCTTGGATGGTATCAGGATGCAGCACAGAGCATGTCTGGGAAGACTAGGAACAGTGGTGGGTGGTAAAGGTGACTCAGGGAAGACAAGGTAAGCCTCCCTGAGCTCAGATGGTTCTGCATGCAGCCCACTCCTGAAGGAAGGTGTGGCTGCCAGCAAGCTAGTTAGATCAGAGCTTAGAGCGTTGACTCAGAAGAAATCAGAACCTACACAGAGGAGCTGAGGAGGCCAGAGAGAAACCTGGGTGGCAGGGATGGTACACCTGGCAGTGCGGGGGTCTCTCCCTCTCTTCACGAGTCGTTGGCCACCTGCCCACGAGGGCAGGGAGAGCAGAAGCAGCGAACGGGGTCAGGACGGCCAGTGAGCACTGACGGAAGACAGCCCTTCCGGGGAGACTGATCCCAGGCGCAGTGAAACAGCAGTGATACAACTCCAGACACAGTGAAACAGCTCCGTTTATTCAGTGGGAGAACTAGAGAATTTATAGTGTGGAGGCAGTAGCAAAAGCCTCAGCTGATAGGTGCTCATAGTATGCTTTATTTACATGTGGCAGTGGGCTCCTATCTTCCAGACTATCAGGCAATGCCTGATTATCATATAGAAAAAACCTGGGGGTAGTTTTTACTCCAGGTAACTATGCCAAAGGTCATGTTTCAGATAAGGTCAGGCATCCGTGCTTGGTAGCACTTTCCAGGTGAGCCAGGAAGAGAGCAGGAGGCCCCCTGCTGAAAAGGGGAGTCCTTCCATTTGGCGCCGAGCCCCTTAGGGCTATCCGGACATGGAGAACTACAACCCTAACAGCAGGGTTTCCCAACATAGCAGGAAGTTTAGGGATTAGGTTTGAGAAACCAGCTGATACTGATTTTTAATTTTTAACTTTTTGTTAATGTAGTCTATTGTAAAGCAGTTCCTCATCGTTGGTTTATTTGAAAATATTCTACCTGTTTCTTGTAAAATTTTTTATTGAGAGAGCAAGCGAATGAGTGTGTGTGTGTGTGTGTGTGTGTGTGAGAGAGAGAGAGAGAGAGAGGTGTAGTTACCTGTGCCATGGCATACATGTTGAGGAAGGAGGACAACTTTGTGGTGTGTCAGTTCTCTCCTTCCAACTTAACATGTATTCTGGGGGTCAAACTCAGTTCATCAGGTTTGTGGAGCCCCTGAGCCATCTCACTGGCCCTACATTCATTTTTTAATTACAGTATTATAGTTACACAATTCTATTAAAGATTTATTTTTAATTATGTATGTGTGTCTCTGTTGGTATGCGTGTACACGTGTATACATAGTGCCTGAGGGAGCCAGAAGAAAATGTCAGATTCCCTGGAACTGGAGTTACAGTTAGTTGTGAGCCACCCAGTGTGGGTTCTGGGAACTGAACCCAGGTCCTCTGCAAGAGCAGCCAGTGCTCCTAACTGCTGAGCCCTCTCTCTAGCCTGAATCTTTTTGTGTTTTATGGCTTCAATTTCTCTTCTCATCAGATCCTTATATTCCTTGAAATCATCCCTCTTTACATGGCTAGTAACCTTTTATTGTTTGTTGGGTGTTAGGAGCCTATATACTGTTAGATGCCTAGATTTACATTGTTTTCCTTTAAAATATATTGGACTTTATATCTGCCAGGAAGTGAAGTTACTGCTTGACCTTCGAGGCTTGTTTGTAGGGTGAACCTGCATGTTCTCTCCTCTCAGGTTGACTCAGCTCTGTTCCTATACATGGCCCCTCTGTGGCCTATAGTGAATGTGATGGAGGATGTAAACGTGTCCCTGCCCTGTGTGGGCTTTGGTAGGTTTTCAGCCTATATTTCAATCTCTACCTATGTGTGTCTTAGTCTTTAAGAGCCTAGGAGAAAGATACTCTGAGATTTCTGGACATTTTTTTCCCTAAAAGGCTCACTTCTATGTAGAAATTCTAACTGACACTGTCACCCATGTACAATCCCCTCCTCACTCAAGTGTAGCTGCCAGGGCCTGTTTGGTCCCCTTTTACCATCCAGAAAGTTCCTCCATCCTGATGGAGGCCAGCCAGGGTGACCACAGCATTTGATCCATTTGCTTCCCCTTGAGGCGTCATTCTCAACTGGTTCTTCTCTAACGAGATCAGCTCTTTCCGGTGCTATGTCCTGCTTTCTGCTAATTTATGATAAAAGGCAAATCTAGCTCCAGTTGTCCATCCTGGCTTGAAGCTGCAGCCATACTTGCTTAATTTTATATTTTATATTTGTCTCCCCCCGCTGTAAAAATGTAAGCCTAATGAAGAGTTTCATTTGTTCATTTTTTTAATTCCTTTCTTTTATTTATTTATTATTTTATGTGTATGAGTGTATTGCCTGCGTGTAGGTAAGTGCACCTGTGTTGTGCAATGCCTGCAGAGGTCAGAAGAGAAGAGGCTGTTGGATCCCCTGGAACTGGAGTTACAGACAGTTGTTAGCTGCCATGTGGGTGCTGGGATTCGAGCCTTGGTCCTCTGCAAGAACAACCAGTGTTCTTAACCACTGAGCCATCTCGCCAGCCCCTTAATTTTTTAAAAAATTGCATGGGACTGGAGAAATTACTTAGTGGTTAAGAGCACTGGCTGCTCTTGCAGGAGACCTGGGTTCAAATCCCAGCACCCATTTGGGCGCTAACAACTGTCTGTAGTTCCAGTTCCAGGGGATCTGACACCCTCTTCTGTCCTCTGTGGGCACTGCATGACACTAGTGCACTTACATGCAGACATAACACTCATACACATAAAATAAAAATAAGTAAATAACAAAAAAACACAAAGCCAAGTATAGTGTCACACACCTTTAATCCCAGCGCTTGGGAGACAGGCAGATCTCTGTAGGTTCAAGGCCAGCCTGGTCTACATAGTGAGTTCCAGGACAACTGGGGCCATAGGGAGACCCTGTTTAAAAATAAAAATAAAGCATACCATGAGATTTATCATCTGAATTTTTCAGTTGTAGCTCAGTGTTAAATCCATTCACAGTTGTCTAGCTACCCCCACTATTCTTGCCTTACAAAGCTGAGACTGTCCTTTCTAGGCACTAAGACCCATTCTCCTCCTAACCCTGGCACCCACACTCTCCCTGTCCCTGAATTTGGCTCCTCTAGGATCTCTCTAGTCAGCTCATGCAGTTTTGGCCCTTTTTTCATCAGCATGATGTCCTCCGGGTTTCCTCCAGTTGTAGTGCAGGTGGGAATTTTCTCCTTTTAGAGTCTGAGTACTGTTCTGTTGTATTTCATTTCCTCCCCTCACATCACCAACACCTAAAATAGTGCCTGATACATATTTGGTTGAATCAGAGGAATAACTTAGGAAAGGACAAAAGGAAGGTTTTGCCGGGCGTGGTGGCGCATGCCTTTAATCCCAGCGCTTGGGAGGCAGAGGCAGGTGGATCTCTTGTGAGTTCAAGGCCAGCCTGGTCTACATAGTGAGTTCCAGGACAGCTGGGGCTACAGGGAGATCCTGTCTCAAAAAGACCAAAAGAAAGGAAAGTTGATCCATTGGGTGAACGTTAATGTGATGACATTCAAACCATGCATAGATATGTCAGGTGAGGTTCGGCATTCGGCTTCTAGAAACAGTGCATTCCAGGAGCCACATGAAAAGTGGGAATAGATATGAACAGGAAGTCAGAGGAGAGTAACAGTTGCTGGGAAATGCACCAAACACTTCCTGTTTTACTTATCTTTAAAACGACAGACCGTGTTTTCTCTCTGAAATTGGCAGACTTGTGGAATGTGATTGCAACCAGTCTGTAGTAAGTGACCCCTGTGCTTAGCCAAGTGTTCTGTAAACATTCAGAGGCTGCAGCATGGCCACACACAGAAGCATACGGTATCACATCCAGGATCCTAACAAAATGATAGATATGCACATGAAAATTTATGTGTGAAAATAACCATGTGTCACTGGTGACACCTCAGAGAAATGTGTCACTGGGCACTTCGTGTAAGCAGTACAGAGTACATAGACAGCTAGGACATCACTAGATGATACCCTGCAGGTTCGTGACTGGATGGACCTGTGGGGCCAGTGTTGTGTCACATTCTGTTGGCCAAAATGCCATTATGCAGCTCGTGGCTCATTTTTCACAATGGTAATGGCTTTTTTGTAATTTTTATGATAAAAGCCTGCTTATTACAGAATAGGTCAGACTCATAAAGGAAAAGAAAGCCCTTTTGGTATCTGTCCTCTCAGCCTTTCAGATACATTGTGTTAAAAATAGAAATAGATGGAGCTGGAGAGGTGGCTCAGGGGTTAAGAGCACAGGCTACTCTTCCAGAAGACCCAGGTTCAGTTCCCAGTGCTCACGTGGCAGTTCACACTGTCTGTAACTGCAATTCCAGGGGCTCCAACACCCTCTTCTGTTATCCATGGGCATTACACAGCATGCATGCACTTACATAAATGCAAGCAAAACACTCATGTACATAAAGTAAAAATAAGTAAATTTTCTTAATTAAAAAAAATATCAGATCAATAAATTATTTAAAAATAAAAATAAAATGTGGAGAAAAAAACCTATCAGAAAGATAAAGATGGCAGCTCACAGTGCAGTGTGTCCCATCTCTGCCATGTGAAGTGTTCATGTTGACAGTTTGGACCTGGAGGGATGGCATGGAACAGGAATGGACCCTTGGGGATCATCTTGCCCCTTCCCCTTACCAGACTGGCAAAGCAGGCCTCAGAAGCTGAAGCAGGGGAGGAGAAACCTATGACAGAGGCATGTTTCCATCTCTAGTGTCTGGTGTAGCAGTCTGTGGTATGGAAGGACCTGTGAGGGGCTGGGGTGAGGAAGACTGGAGCATTCCCATCTCATTGGGGAACCCAGGCACAACAGCCAAGGCTGGTCTCTAAAGCCTTTTTCCACGTGTGTTCCCTCAGATGAATGACAATCTCCTGGAGAGCTGGAGTGACCTCGATGAACTGAAAGGTGCCAGAAATCTGGAGACAGTGTACCTGGAGCGCAACCCCCTGCAGAAGGACCCCCAATACCGGCGCAAGGTCATGCTGGCCCTTCCCACTGTGCGGCAGATTGATGCCACATTCGTCAGGTTCTGAGTCCTTGCTCCTCACCTGGTCCCTCTTGAAAGAACTTCCCAGCCACGGTTTTTTAATCTACCTACTGATCCTGAAGTCGTCACTCTATCAACAGTCACAGCCCACTGGCAATAATAAGGCACGGTGGTGGCTGGCATGTGATGCCACATACATACCAGTGGAGATGCCAACACTATTAAATCTTGCCACGCGGTCTTCCTGGTGAATTGGTGACGGTTATTGTAGCCTTGGAGAGAATGCAAGACATGTTGCAGTCATTTATTCTTCATGTCTGTCTGTGTCCTCAGCCTGGTGGGCATTCTATGCTGTCTCAGCAGGCCTTCAGTTGGTTTGCAGGGTTCAAGCAGTCATGACCCACAACAGCACACTTTTTAGTCTTTCAGACCAGTGTATGCCAATTTTGAAAAAAAATATTAAAAATTAAAATAGGTAAAAGATGGTCCAGCCTCCGATGCTGTGATCCTAGAGCCCTCCCCTCATGAGCAAAGAGCTTAGCACGCTGAGCTAAGTGTGACCTTGTTTGCACTTGGTGAAAGCCAAGGTGTGGAGAACCATGCTCCACATCCCCAAGCTCTGCTGAACCTAATTGAGTCTCAGAAACATACAGAACTAAGCTCTTGTCTGCTAGTCACATAGCCTCCGATTCTTACCCATGATCCTTTGGCCTTATTTATATAAAATTTATATTAACAGACCACTAGGGCCTGAATTTAATGCCACAAGGGCGTTGTCTTTCCTCAGGGCCTCTAATTTCCTCTTGCTCAGAATGAGGGCTGAACTGTAGTTGCCAAAGGCCCCTCAGTGTCCAGGGTTCTGGAGCTTCACCAAGCAGGTTACCACACGTGGCAACTGCAGTTCAAGTGCGGCCTCCACCAGAGCTGCATGCAGCTTTTCGTTCATGCTCACCCTTCTTCCGCTTAGTGGTCACACCTGATGGGAGGCATCCCATTTCCATCATCACAGAAGGTTCTGGACAGCACTGCTCTAGATTCTTCAGTATCACTGGGACTGCCCTAGGAGCTGAGAAGCATGTGCCCGAGTGTCCAAGCTGATTGATTGATCAACTGCCAGGGAGTTTGTGACATGAGAATGGTCAATGTGGGATTTAACATCCATTTCCTGATTCTTAATTCTCACCAAAATAAATTGTGTGATCTGAATCTGTGCATCTGCCTGTCAAGAAGCTTTTAGCAAGGAAAGGAGGCATAACAGTAAGTGGTCCCAGAGAGCCTTTGCGCTGGAGCCCTGCGATAATGCCAGATGCCTGTCGTGTCTGAGGATATCAGACACATGAAAAATGAGATGTGGGTGTTCTACTCAATCACAGAAGCTCTGCACACAGGCACATGACTCTAGTAGAGAGCAGAGAGGCAATATAGAGGTGGTAGGTACCAAGGCAGCAGAGCCTTCCTAAGGGTGCGTTTGCAGCATTAAATTGTAGGAAAATCTTACCAGTTAAGTGGAAAAGACAGAAAAATGTCTTAAAACAAGTTTAAATTCTAGAATTGGGAAGAAATATCAAAAAGCTATTCGTTAAAACAGCTGTAGGACCCAGAAACAATCCCTAGGCTGGAACAGGCATGGTAACACAGGCCTTTAATCCCAGCAGAGGCAGGAGGATCTCTGTAAAATTGAGGCCAGCCTGGTCTACATAGCAAGTTCCAAGTCAGCTGGAGCTATAGGGGAGACCTTGTCTCAAAAAAACCAAAAATTTGTGTCTGGAAATGTCCTCAGTTCATGTTATAAGTATAGAGAAAGCCCCTCTTTGTCCCCAGTTCGTGCTATGAGGGTAGAGAAATGACCTGGCTAAAAATCTTGGCAAAAAGCATGAAAAAGAAAAAAACTGCTTTTGCTTAGGAATATAAATGCAAAAGTCTTAAATAAAGATTAGCAGAGCCGGGCATGGTGGCGCACACCTTTAATCTCAGCACTTGGGAGGCAGAGGCAGATGGATCTCTGAGTTCAAGGTCAGCCTGGTCTATGTAGGGAGTTCCAGGCCAGCTGGGGCTACAGGAAGACCCTGTCTCAAAAAGACCAAAAAAAAAAAAGATTAGGAGGCCAGGAGTTGGGGGGAGGTAGGTGAATCTCTGAGATGGATGCCAGCCTGGTCAGCTGGGACTACACGGAGACCCTGTCACACAAACACACAAAAAAAGATTAGCAAATTAAAGAATACCACTTCTTGACCATGAAGGTTTTAGCTTAGGAATGCAAGGATGGCTTAAGAAGAGGAAGTAGGTGTACACCTGGGTATAAGTCTATAATCCTAACTACTCAGCAGGCTGAGGGAGGAGGATTAAAAGTTTACAACCTGCCTTGGCTACAGAGTGAATTCAAGGCCAGCCTGAGCAACCTAATGAGACCTGGTCTCAAAAGGTAACAAGAGGGTTGGAATACAGCTCAGGAGTAAAGCACCTCCTCAGCACGTGGGAGACCCTGGGTTCAGTCCCTAATACTGAAGGGAAAAAAAGAAACAAGCAGGATTATAGGATTGATAATAAATCATCACTTTGTGCAGTAAAAAAAGATCAGGATTGGAGAGATGGCTCAGCAGTTAAGAGCATTGACTGCTCTTGCAAAGGACCTGGGCTCGATTCCCAACACCCACATGTAGATGACCACCCATAACTCCAGTTCCAGGGGAATCTGACACCGCCTTCTGACTTCCACGGCATTGCACGACATGGGTGCACTTACATGCAGGCAATACAGTCATACCCATAAAATAAATAAATTACTAAAAAATCAGATCAACTTAGTGTTTATGTAGACCAGGCTGGCCTTGAACTCACAGAGATCTGCCTGCCTCTGCCTCCCAAAGTGCTGGGAATAAAAGCATGAGCCACCACACCTGGCTCCCTAGCTTTTTTTTTTTTTTTTTTTTTTTTAAGGAAAACACATTTTTTACTTTATTATTGTGTGAGTGTGTATGTGTGAGCATGTGTAAGGGGAGGTACACAGGGCATTGTACACATGTGGAGGTCAGAGGACAACTTTTTGGAGTCATTTGTCTCCTTCCTCTTGTACGTGGGTTCTGGGGATCAAACTCGCTTGTGCAGCAAACACTTTACCCATTGACCCATCTCACCAATCCTGCATTCCTGGCTTTTTAAAAATTGATTCCTTGGGGGGCTGGAGAGATGGGTCAGTGGTAAACACACTAGCTGTTCTTCAAGAGGACCTGGGATCAGTTCCCAGCACCCACATGGTAGCTAACAACCATCCATAACTCCAGTTCCAGCAGATTTTCACCCTCTTCTGGCCTCTGCAGGCATTGCACATACGTGGTGCATTTACATATATGCAGGCAAAACATTCATATACATAAAATAATAAAATATTTTTTAAATTTATTCCTTGAGCATGGTATGGTGGCACATGCCTCTGCCTTTATTTAATCCCAGCACTTGGGAGCCAAAGGCAGGCAAATCTCTGTGAGATCAAGGCCAGCCTGATCTACATAGACAGTGCCAGGCCACCTGGGGCTACAGGGAGACCCTGTCTCAAAAAACGTAAAAAAATTTTAAATTAATTCCTTTACAAATAAAATTTCTTTTTTTCTTTTTTTTTTTTTTTTTTTTTTTTGAGACAAGGTCTCCCTGTAGCCCCAGCTGGCCTAGAACTCACTATGTATACCAGGCTGGCCTTGAACTCACAGACATCCTCCTGCCTCTGCCTCCCAAGTGTTGGGATTAAAGGCATGCGCCATCATGCCTAGCTCCTTTCTGCAATCTTTAAGAAATCTTATTTATAAAGCCTGGCATGTTGGAACACACCTTTAATCCCAGCACTTGGGAGGCAGAGGCAGGAGGGTGTCTGTGTGTTCAAGGCCAGCCTGGTCTACATAGTGAGTTCTAGGCCAGCTGGGGCTACAGGGAGACCCTGTCTCAAAAAGACAAAAAAAAACAACATTGCAGAAATAGACTTTGGCTACAGAGATGGCTCAGAGGGTAAGAGAGCTTGTTCTATAAGCCCGAGAATCTGAGTTCAAATCCCCAGCACCCAGGTAAAAAAGTGGGGATGACTGCATATCCCCACTGTAATTCCAGCATTGAGGGGTGGAGGCAGGAAGATCCCAAGAACTGGTTGGCCAGCCAGCCTGGCCTAAATGAGCTGGTTCGGTAATCAGGGCAATGAGAGAGCACTAGAGGAAGACACCCAAATCCAGCTCTATGTTCCTGGCCTTCCAAGCAACAGCAGACACCTCCTGCTGGCGCTGGGATCTCTAAGTAAACAAATGCCTGAGGCACAGCAAGTTTGCATGTAGGGTGTGTGAAAGCACTAGGAAAATGGGCTGCCTATGTTTGCAGGCTCTATCCCCACACCCTGTTTTCAAACAAAGACAGATCCTGCACAGGGACCAGGGAGGTGACACTGATAGACAGCTGCTCTAGGTACCTCTCCAGCCTGCTTCCAGCCCCTTGGCCTGTGAGGTAAAAGTAGGTGAATTCCATGGCCTGGGCAGGGCCTTCAGGGACAGGGCCCCTCCTAGCTGCTACCCTTAGGGCTGGCCCGGATTTCACTCCTGCTGAGACCAGGTTTGTGTTGGTGGACTGGCCATGAGCTCTGGGGCCACATCTGGAAGCCACTAAGCCAGGTAGGCTGGATGCCCTCCTCCTGGATGCTTGAGCTGCAGGGAGAGCAGTGAGGTGATGAACCCCAGAGAGACTGAGCTAGCACCTGTAGCTCACTAGGTTCCAAAATCCCTGGACTGTGGGAGACAGTGTTGAGGCTTACTAACCCTGGAGCCCCAGAGGCCTGGTATAGTGTCTGCTCCAAGCTCTGGAGGTGAGCAGAGATGGGTGCTCAGTGTCTCTTTGGGCACCCTACTCTAAGGAGTCAGCATCCCACCTGGGAACTGAGTCCATCACACAGCAGGTCATACTTGGGGCCTTATTAACACCACTTTTCCTCCTTTCCCTGCTCTACCTGTCGATATCCAAAGCCCTGGAACCTTCACTCCAGGAGCACCTTACAGTTCTCACTGGCTCCCAGAGTCCCCATATTGTGATACTGAGTTCTGGCAGGAACAGGAGGTTCAGTCCCCTGTCTGCCTTTCCAGGTCTCTATTTGTCTGAAATCTGGAATTGGACTGGGAGCCAGGACCTCCACCTTCTCTCCTGGGCTCTGCCCACCTGAAACCCAGCCCTGCTCAGACCTGCCTCCTTCTGGGCCACAGGTCTTATTCTGCATTTTGCCTTCCTGCTACCTGGAATAGAGGTACTGCCTCCCACAGAGATCCTGAGATTGAAGGTACAGGGAAGGCCAGGTCGCAGGCTGGTGTAGCAGATCCCATGGAAGCCTCTAGGGAACTGAGCTCTGACTTCTCAAGGAAGCCTGGGCTGGCAGCAGGTTCTTCAAAAGTACCGCAAAGGCAAGTGGCTTTAAAGGGCTCCGATGGCCCTCCTCTTCAGGTGAAGAAAGGAAAAAGGCAAGTCCATGCTGTGACATTACACTGCTCAGAGAGATAGCGCTTGGGGCCACTCGGCACTCCCTAGATGGGTGGATGGGTGGATGGGTGGGTGGATGGATGGATGGATGGGTGGACGGACAGGTACGGGGCTAGGCTCTTAGACACTTCTTTCAGTAGCTGGCTCTTTCCTGGAGCTGGTGTCCAGGGATCTTCATATGCCTGCAGCTGGGGCAGTGCAGCCTGACCCTGGCAAGGTCCTGGTACACTGCTGTAAGCTAACCTCCTCACCTGTAAAATAGGTTTGCTGCAAGTTGTGCCTCAGTAACAGGGCTGGATCTCACTGATAACTACCCTCCCCTCTGTGGCTACCCCGGCCTTGATGGGGGCAGGAGCGGGATGCTGCGGAGGCGAGCCCAGGAAGAGGACAGTGCTGTGCTGATTGACATGGCCTTTCCCAAAGCACAGAAGGGGAGCTCTTATGGGAGCACAGCTCACACCTCAGAGGTACCCTCTACCCCAGGGCTAGAGAGGCCAGCAGGGTGCATCAGTCTCTCTTCCCCCTCCCTGGGCTCTGGGCCAAGAGAGGCTTCTGTGTGCTTTGTAATTTTTGTTTTTTTTTCTTCTTTTTGAGAAGGGTCTCCTTGTAGCCCCAGCTGGCCTGGAACTTACTGTGTAGACCAGCCTTGAAGTCACAGAGATCTGCCTGCCTCTGCCTCCCAAGTGCTGGGATCAAAGGGGTGCACCCACGCCTGGCTGTGCTTTGGTAATTTAAAAGGTCTCCCATTTTCAGTCAGGACCTACATTCCTGTTCTAAGCCTGGTGCCCTTGAAAAGGGGACAGATGCCTTCTTGATACATAATCAGGCCACCACTCAAACTCCCTCAAACTAGGAGGGAGCAGAGACCACCATTAGACAGGAGGCTCTGAGCAGAGAAAGGAGGCAAAGACAGAACCAGAGTCCAGGTCTGGTCCCTCTTTGCCAGGAGAACCACTGTGAAAGGGGGGAACCAAAGCTACACACCATGTTTCTTACAAATATGAGGGATGAGCAGGGTGTGGTAGTGCACACCGGAGGCAGAAGCAGGCGGATCTCTGTGAGTTCATGGCCAGTCTGGTCTACAATAGTGAGTTCCAGGACAGCTGGGGCTACAGGGAGACCCTGTCTCAAAAAGACCAAAAACAAAATAAAAAACAAATGTGAGGGATGGGGATGAAGTGACTCACCCCTGTGTTCTGATGCAATTAAAGGCCTGCAGGCAGAAAGTGCACAGAGTGACTCCACCCCAGATGTTTATTGCCTCCTAATGCAGAGGCTGACACTTTTTCTTTCTGGGAACAGAGGGGGGGCTTGTGACCTGGTTTCTTACCTAACAATTTGTCTGCATCTAACAATTTGTCTGAAGAGTAGTCCTTGAAGGGAGTCCAACCCTGCTAAGGAGCAGAACATTGCAGTCAGTGGCAGGTCCTGGCCAGGGGCCTGGCGGGGCGGGGATACGACAAGAGAACAACTGGGGTTAGTGGAAGGGGGGTGGTAAGGTGATCAAGACTTCTGACAGAGTGGCTGGGGCTACCTGAAAGTTAGAGTTAGGGTAGGGAGCAGGAGAGGGCTAGGCTTGGGACAAGTATTGGTCCCCATGAGACAGGCCTTTTACAAAAGTGGGTGGCTCCAGAGGGAGAACATCTTGGTCCCCTCAGCCTCAGCCAAGCTTCTTCATCACTATGGCAGAGACATGTCTCCTGTGTGAAGCTGGGAAGGCAGCCCTTAGGTCCTGAAAAGGACAGTTCCTCTCCATGCTGTATTTTGACATTCTTGTCCCAGACCATGTTTAGGACTCCATGTCAAGGAGGCCACAAACATCCCATGTGAGGCTGGGGGAACACTGTCCTGGTCTTTGAGGCCACCCAGAAGGCCCTGGTCCTCCTGAGTCAGGTGGCTGCCCCAGTGGCCTGAAGGTAGACATGGACGCCCTTCCTATTGTCCCTTGTACCTTGGAACGAGCTCCCAAATAGGGAAAAACAGCTTTGCTCTCCAAAGCAGAGGGAGGAAAAGTCACCCTCCGGTTCCTGTGACCACCTCTGTCTTGTTCTCAAAGCCACATTGGGGCCTGTGTGGTTCCCCCCCGCCAGTCCTGGAGAATGGGAGAGATGTGCACCCCAGTTGTGACTATGCTTCTTGCCAACCTGATCCTTGTTCAGTTGCTCAGAGACCAGCAGCGGCTGGAGGGGATGATGAGGATGGTGGAGGCCATCGATTAGCCTAGCGTTCTGACTCTGCCTTTCAGTAGCACCTTTACTGTGCACCCCCTCTGCACTACCCTCTGCGAACAGGGTGGTCTAGTGCAGGACTGAGGCAGGGTGATGGGTCAGGGATGAGGGGGAGAGTTGAGGATGGGATAAGGTAGTAGAGTTGGAGGAGACCGGAAAGAGTACAGGGTGGAGACAGGAGGGACAGAAAAGGACATGGCGGGGTGGGAGAAAGAACAAGGAATAGTTGGAGGGGCCAGGCAGGCAGAGGAAGGTGCGGGCAGGCAGGTGGGGGGCAGGCAGACAGAGGGAGGTGCGGGCAGGCAGGTGGGGAGGGCAGGCAGACGGAGGTGCTGGCAGGCAGGTGGGGGATGGGGGGTGGTAAGCAGAGAGAGAGGCAGGCAGGCACTGAGTCATCCGGGGTAACTACAGCTGATGGAGCTCTTCCTCCAGGCAGGTAATCAGCAGATGGGGAGTCCTGCCAAGCCTCTGATTGGTAAGTCCCTCCCAAAGTCTGCCATCTGCACCCTGTTGATCCTGGGGGTGGTCACAGATGGAGTGGCAGCAGGAAGCTGGCAGGCCTGGCTCATCCCTTCAGTAACCAGGCCTCTTCTCCCTCCCCTGTACCTCTCCTGTTGTGCTCAACTGCTGGGCTGGAGATAAGGTGAGAGTCATCTGGTGAACAAGCTACAGCCAGGGAGACACCAGGAAAGGAGGGTCCCTTGACAGGACGGTTGAGAGGACTCCCACACGTCTGGATGGACTGCCCCTCTTTCTTCCTGTTTCCGGGCTCTTCTCTTGTACCCACACCTTTGCATTTTCTCAGATTCACTTCCACACAATCCACAGCTCACACCTGCCCAGAGCCACTTTCATCTCCTCATAGAATCTGCAGGGGTTCTAGCAGGATCCCAGAGTCCACCCTCCCCATCACCTCACATTACTATGAAAAACAAAACAGGCTAAGCGAGGTGGCACACACCTTTAATCCCAGCACTCGAACTTGGGAGGCAGAGGCAGGCGGATCTCTGTGAGTTCAAGGCCAGCCTGGTCTACATAGTGAATTCCAGGACAGCTGGGGCTACAGGGAGATCATGTTTCAAAAAGACCAAAAAAAAAAAAAGAAGAAAAAAAGAAAAGAAAAAAGAAAAGTAAAAGTAAAACAGAAAGTGACATGTTTAGGGGAAGGTGTGGGAACTGGAACACTCACACAGCACTGAGGGTACAAAATGGTGCAGAAAACACTGTAAATTCCACAGAAAATGAACACAGACACAGACTTCCCATGGGATCCAGCAATCCTCTGAGCACATGGCCGAGAGTGGTGAACATTTTTATTGTCTTTTGTCGTTTCTTTTTTGCTTTGTTTTGAGACATGGTCTCACTATATAGCCCCAGCCAGTCTGGAACTTGCTATGTAGACCAGGCTGGGCTCAATTCTCCAGTGATTTACCTGCCTTGGCCTCCCAAATGCTGGGACCAAAGGCAAATGCCACCATGCCTGACTTAAATTCCCCCCCCCCCTTTTTTGTTTTGTTTTCTTTTGTTTTTGTCTTTTTGAGACAGGGTCTCCCTATAGTCCCAGCTGGCCTGGAACTCACTATATAGACCAGGCTGGCCTCAAACTCACAGAGCTCCGCCTGCCTCTGCCTCCTGAGTGCTAGGGATTAAAGGTGTCCGCCACCACACCCGGCTAATTTTGCCCATTTTTAAGTTGGTTATTTAAATTTTTGTTATTAAGTTGTAAAAGTTCTCTCAATTCTGGATACAAGTCTCTTATCAGAAACATATTTTGTAGATATTGTCTCCTGATCTCTGGGTTGACTATTCACCTTTTTGATGGTATCCTGTGATAAAATCTGTAATCAATTTTTATTCTATTCCTGTGATTTTGTCCAATCCAAGAAATCACTGTTTACCAGATTCCTCTAAGAGTATGAGATACAGGGCTGGAGAAATGGCTCAGCAATTAAGACACTGACTGCTCTTGCGGAGGACCTGGGTTCAAGTCCCAGCACCCAAATGGCAGCTAACAACTGTCCATAATTCCAGTTCCAGGGGATCAGACCCCCTCTTCTGACCTCCATGGGCATTGCATGACCTGGGTGTACTTACATGCAGGCAATACACTTATACACATAAAATAAAAATAATAAAATATTTTTAAAAAGAGTCGGGGGATGGAGAGTTTGGGGGCCTGGAGTTAAGAACACTGGTTGTTCTTGCAGAAGACCCAGGTTTGAATCCCAGCATTCACATGGCAGCTAACAACTGTCCATAACTCCAGTCCCAGGGGCTCCAACAGCCTCTTCTGACCTCTGAGGGCATTGTAGGACACGGGTGCACTTACCTACATGCAGGCAATACATGTATACACATAAAATTAAAAAATAAAAAATAAATTTTAAAAAGTTTGAGATACAGGCTGTAGGGACCAAGTGGCAGGGAGATCCCAGGAAGGCAGGCCTGAGTCCTGCCCCAGCGTCATTTCCTCATCTGCATGAAGTTCTGAGCTCCAGCTCTAAGACCCCAGAATTGGCCTCTGCTCAGACTTCCCACCAGAACCCGGGTGTCCCAGGTGGGACCCAGACAGCCCTGCCTAGGCCTGCAGCCCCTTAGACCTTCCATGCTCTCTGCCTCTGTCCCCTTGGTTCTTGCAGACTTTGTTCTTGTTTGGGAAGAAGACTGGAAGCTGGGTAGACACCAGGATAGAGTCACCCAGGACAAGACAGACACGCCTGAGATCTGGAGAGAGACCTTTCTGGAAAACCTTCGTTTGGCTGGTCTGAATATAGACCAGGTAAGTGGCCTGGGGAAGGGGGCTATGTAGACCCTGTATCTTCTGAGTAACCTGTGACTTTGCTCTGCAAACATGAGGGTACAGCATCCAGAGATAGGAAGCACGCTAAGCCCCAAGTTTCTGCTTGACACCCATCCTTAAGGGAGCACCCAATGGCTAGGGAACCACTGGCCAGAGGCCAGCAGGGACATGGAACCATTGTGGTACAGGAGGTTCACTCAGAAGCCGGAGACTTCAGAGCAGCTGATAAAACTGAAACCGACCCCTTTTCTCCATCACCTCAGGCTTTGGTCGGGTGCATCATTTACGTTCACTGTTAGTGTGTTCATAGGATTTTAGTAGTTTAAAAAAGTCCTTTTGTGTACATTATATAACAGATACCACTTAGAATGAGTTAAGCAATGATCCCAGGGCAGGAGAAAACAGGGAGGCATGGTGAACCCTGGGTAAGCACAGGGCCAGGCAGGCAGGAGGGATTCTCAGAGAGGGTTGGGCTCGGAGCCCTGTCTTGTCCATATGCCCCTCATTGCCAGGTCTCTTTACATGTCTTCCTCATCCTTCACCACCCCAGTCACCTTGCTCCCTCCCCAGAATTAAGTGTTGTCTTCAAGCCCCCAGCCCTGCTACCAGAGGAGTCACTTCTGAAACTGTTAACCACACCACTTAGTACTACGGCTTGGTTTTGTTTATTCCATGGGATCCCACCCAGTGAATCCCTCATCTTGTTTCTCCCATTTAATGTGATGTGTGAGGCCCACGGCATGATGGGGCCAGTGCTGCCCAGCCCTGGTCCTTGCTGTGTCTTCATGGATGTTTGACTTGTCCCCAGTTTAGGACCGTGGTGACAGCTGGCTGCTGCCAGTCATCTTAGGGTGGCTGTGATGGTACAAGAGTTTCTCCTAGGAGCAGAATTGATGACCATCTGAGGTCTATGGCTGCAGCCTCACCCTTTTCTCATGTGGTGGCAAATTTACATAGCCATCTGGGGTGAAAGGGCACCCCACTCTGAATTGTCTCAACACCTGATAATGTCAAACTTTTCAATTTTTAGTCAATCAGTTGGTATACACTGGTACCTCACACTAGTTTTAATTTTCATTTTCCCTGATTTCTAAATACATTGTGCATTTTTACATGCTTTTGAACTATTTGCATTTCCATTAAGCTTCTTCTTGATGATGGGGGCACATCCTCCTAAACTTTGGTAGGTGAACCCAGTACTTAAAGATTGATTGTAAGTAGACTGTGGTGAGATTAAAAATGCATCGAATGTGCCCTTCTTACCAAACACCCCAGTTTAGCCACCCAGCACACTGTACAGACCAGCAGTTCCTCTTGAGATCACAGAAGTTGTGCTTAGTGCCACTGCCCAGTGTCACCAGAGAGAGCAGGATCACATATTGCTAACTAGAAAAAGACCAAAATTCAAAAGTCAAATCTGGTATGGATGGCTGTTTGTGCTTTACACCACTCTAAAGTAAAAGTAAATCCAGCATAGGGCCACCTTAAGTCAGGAGCAGCTGCGATGTACAGGCTTTTTGTGTCTCCTATTCTCTTTTCTGTTGAGTTATTTGCCTTTTTCTCCTTAGGCATGTAGGGGCTCTCTGCCTGTCTGGACATGGAGATTGCTGGTCACATGTGTCACTATTGAGATGAGTTATGGTTGGTTTAACTGGCTGTGTCCAGAGCTGTTTCTGCCTCTGATCTTGTGTCCTCCATACTCTTCCACAATGCCCGCCACACACCATCTGCCCATCCAGCCAGCCAGCCATTTGTTCATCCGTCCATCTTTGTGCTCACCATGTAACTCCTGCTACTTATATGGGAACGGCAGCCCCTACTTCTCTTATCCTCTCCTGTCTGAGGCTACCACTACTAAAATTTACTGCGATCCACTCCAGAACTTTCTTAGATATTGACACACAGAGACATGCTGAGATTTGTGGGTCAAGTGCTAACACCCTCTTCCACGTCTGTATTCATCTCAGTGTGGTGAGTGGGGGTGAGAAGATACCCCTCCCTCTTACTGTAGAAACTGGTGGTACAGTGTGGATCTATGCATTTTCAAAACCTTCACCCAGAAGGTTGAGGGCACAATGGTAGGGCACCATTGTGTGTGGTGCCTTGCCGATACATTGTCCAAAGCACTCTAAAGCTTGAACCTACGAGACAGTTCTCAGCACATGGTACAACCAGCTAGGTGTGCCCCAAATATCCAGTCTCAGGTCTGCCTCCATGGACAGGATGTGGTTTGTGCGTCGGCACTCAGGGAACCCCTGAGGGAACCCCTCAGGCTGATGACCTCTGAAAAGGCAAGGTCTTTGGAAAACACCTCTGTACTCTGCAAAGGTTCTTGTTCGAGGGACCAAAAGCCCTGTCTCACACCACCCAGGTCTCCAGGCATGCCCATCACAGAACAGCATGGTGGACACTCAGTATTGCAGGACTTTAGGAGAGAGGGTAAAATTAGTGTGTATCGCTAAGCTAGGACAGCAGTGACAGCCCAAAGAATAGCTCCTAGAGGTTCATCTTGATGAGTAAAAGAGTTTATTAGGGGCTACTTAGTCAGTGACCATGGACAGACAGCTGCACCTACCCGAAGTCATCACCTCCACCTACCGAATTCCCATTTCCTATGTGTGGCTCTCCATCTCCAGCAGAATTAATGCAAACCTGGCCTTAGAGTGCCACCTAGTGCTAAAGCAGCAGAAGTGACTCCAGGCTGAGACGACATAACACAGACAGAACAGACTCTGGGAAGCCATGCTTTTTGTTTGGTTGTTTTTTGGCGGGGGGAGAGGGGTCTATTGGGGGCTCCCTGTAGCTCCAGCTGGCCTGCAACTCACTATGTAGACCAGGCTGCCCTTGAACGCACAGAGATCCCCTGCCTCTGCTGGGATTAAAGGCGTGTGTCACCATACCTAGCTGGGAAGCTATGTTTGTTGTTGCTGCTGCTGCTGTTTTTGAGACAGCATCTCTCTGTCTCAGCTGGTCTAGAACTCAATATGTAGCCCAGGCTGGTATTAGTCTCACAGAGATCTGCCTGCCTCTGTTTCCCGAATGCTGGGATTAAAGGCACATGCCACCACACCCGGTGGAAGCTGTATTTTCTGTGCCCTCTTGTCTCAACAAGCAGACTCTGAACATGGAAGGTTTGTTTTATGACAATAGCCAAGTGGAGGTTTGCTACAAGATGGATATTTTGGCTAGGATATGATCTGGTGTCACGGTACTTTGAATGGACAGGGATATCCACCCATCTATGTATACAGAGGTGTACACATTTATTCACATATGTGGGGAACAATGTGAACTCCCAGAGACTCGTCAAAGAGTGAGGCAGCCACTGAACATCGAAAAGTGATGTTGAATTTGCTGCCCTATTAATTAAAAATGAGCTGGGTCAGCACGGTCTCTGAGAAGTCAGACACCACTCTCCAAAGGCTTTTGTCATGGCCGCAGAAGATAGTGCAGATGGCATGGGCCCCACCTGTGAGCTCTCTGGGGAGTCTAAGGACTGTCACCCACAAGCTTTCTGCGGTGGTACTCAGAAGTAATCACTGCCGTCAAGGAGGTGTAAAGCCACTGGCTGTCCATTGACATGGCTATAGGAGACTAAATGTGAATAGACACAGGCTATTCAGGCCCTCACAGAAGCCCCTTGTGCTCACAGCACAACGTTCAGGATGAAGCCACAACGGTACACTACATCCTCCTCAGCGCCCCCTGGTCTGTGCTCTGCTACTATGCAGAAGACCTGCACTTGAAGATGCCCTTGCAGGTAGGGGGGACACAGGGACAGAGGGAGGGGTTAGAGGTCCCTGCCTAACTCTACATCAATTGACTCTGGGTTCAACTACTAAAGCCAGTGATCCTTGGAAGGATCCCCACTTGAGGACCCCTAGTTCCCTTCTGGCCCACTATCACATGGAGCCATAAGAAACCCATTGGGTCACGCTGGGCGTAGTGGTGCACACCTTTAGTCTCAGCACTTGGGAGGCAAAGGCAGGCAGATCTCTGTGAGTTTGAGGCCAGCCTTGTCAACATAGTGAAGAAACCTGTTGGGTCAATAGAGCAGGAGGTGATACGCTGCATGGCGGGCTCAGAAGTTAGGGAAGGCCTGTAGTGCTGGCAGCTGAGGCTGTAAGCTAACCATCTGAGTTTCTGTAGGCCCAGACCCCCCTGGGCCATCTGCTGACACAATTCGTCAGGTGTGCACAGGGTAGACGAGGGCAGCCTCTCAGTGACCTCAGGATGATGTGCCTGGCCCACTCACCTTGACCAGTATGGTGCAGGGATGGGTAGAGACACAGTGCTCATTCTCCTTGTTTTCTAATGACCTAAGCAACTCTGGTCCTCAACTTAACAAGCTGAGCATCTCCCAGAGCCTGAAGCCCAGAGGCAAAGGGTCTGCAGCAGGGCCAAGAGGCAAGAGGTAGTCTTTCAGCTGCAGCCTCTGCCCTGCTTGCAACTTTCTCAGCTTCTGCCGCTGTGGAGATTCCCCTCCAAACAACTTTCCTTCTAGGAGTTACCCTACCAGGCCTCCAACTGGTCAGCCAGCCTGCTGCAGTGGCTGGGAATCCCTAATGTTATGCTGGAGCCCGTGCCTGACACACCCCCTGAGTACTACTCCTGCCAGTTCAAAGCAAGCAAGTTGTCACGGTAAGGCATCACAGCTCTGTTGAGGCCAGCAGGACAGCTTCCTGTGGAACCAGCCTGGTTGAGAACCGGTGTGGGTGTGTGAATGAGACTGAAAGAACCAAACATCATGCTTTCCCGGAAATGCTCTCCTCACCTGGGGTTTTCAGACAAAACCACCTGAATCTCAGGTGAGCAAGCTGTAGTGTGCATGTATATACTGGCAAGTCACCTGCATTAGTCAGGACAGGGTGACTGTGCTGTAGAACAAACATGCCCTAAATCCCAGTGATGAATATACAAGGCCTATGCTGCAATCCATTTCTGTTTCTATAACAAAATGCTCAAGGATGGATACTCCATTGAGAAAAGAGGTTGAGGGCTGGGGAAATGGCTCGGTGGGTAAAAACTCTGGCTGTACAAACCTGACAATCTGAGTTCAATCCCCAGAACCTACAAAAAAGCCAGTTGTGGTGGTACACATCTGTAATCCCAGCACTCCTACAGGGAGATGGGAGGCAGGGACAGAAGAATTGCCCAGAATCCTGGAGTACACAGTACAGAGAGAGCAAGAGAGACCTCCACATGTTCTCTTGGTACCAGGACCGTTCTACACATGCAGAATGTGCGTGCACATCACACACTGAATATACATATACAAGAAAAAAATTAAAGAAGTTTGGTAGGCAGTGCTGGAATTGTTACCAGCCACTGTTCCCTTGAACTGTACAAAATAAATTGTCTTCCTTTTAAAGAAGTTCATTTAGCTCTCTGTTTTGGAGGCTGAAAGCCCAGTATTGAAGGCTCACCTGTCAGTCTCTGACGAGGGCATAAAAGCACAGCACAGCTGGGAAACAGAACAGAAACCAGGAACCAGGCAGATGGAGTGGCCCTGCCTCCTTTGATAACTGATTCTCCTCTGAAACCAGACCAGTCCCTTCTAAGAGTGGAGTCCTCATGACCTCTTGAAGGTCCTGCCACTTTGACACACTCAGACCACAACAGTGCACTCCTTGCCCTGCTCTTGTGTTGTGTGTCAATGGGATCCCTCATCATGCCTTTCCAGACTGGTGAGGTAGACAGCAGGCACATGGGCGGCCCTCCCTCACTGACTCCAGGTGCCTTTTCATGTATGTTGGACAGAGCAATTGTATGGTCACACTCAGCCTATAGACCTAGCAGGGAGGGCTGTTGGTGAGTCATGCTAAAGGTCCCCTATGGTCTTGTTTTCCACATGGAGGACACCTCCTTGATGGGGTACTGGGATATTTAGCCTTGATTACTGTTGTCCCCACTAGTGAAGTTCCCAAGACTCTGATGTCCCACTGCCCCTTGGGCCCTTGGTCCTGTGTGCAAGCTTCAGGGCAGGCACACTAAGGGCTTCCCAGTGAGTCTAGTGCTCTGGTCAGGGTCTTGCCTTCTGCCAGACCTGCCTGCACTCGCCCTGCCTCATGTGTGTAGTGGTGTGATGCCTGTTGTGGCCTCCTGTCTGAGGAAAAGAATGAACTGGTACAGTGGTCATTTTCCTGGCTCTGGGCTGTGGGGGCCTCCACGCAGGCTCTGAGTGTTCTGTGCATCATCTTCTATGCTCTGTATGTGTGGTAAGTTTCCGTGTCCCTAAAGCTCTAAACTTTGCTCACCCTGTAGGTTCCTTGGGAATGACAACCAGGATACCTTCTTCACCAGCACCAAGAGGCACCAGATTGTGAGTGGAGTATCTGCTGTAGCCCCTTAACCCGGGCCAGGCTCAGAGAGGCCTGCTAGACTCCAACTTCTAACCCCAAGGTCTCCATAGCTATAGAAAAGCACCCTATAACCAGAGGGTGAAGCCTTAGAGACTGCTTCTGATCTTGTTGCATGGGGGAAGGATGTGGCCTGGGTGTAGGAGAGATGGGGACATGTCCAAACTGCCCTGGATCAGATGACAGCTGGCTCCCTACCTAGTCCTTCTCCACAATCCTGAGGCCCGAAGAATACTGTGTTTATGGACCTCTGGGACAGAAAGCCAAGGCTCCAGGTCCATGGCTGGCCAGAACAGACAGGGAAGGGGTCTTAGTGTACCCTGAAGAAATCTAGCAGAGCCAGGCTATAGGAGGCAGAGCCAGGCTATAGGAGGGAGGCAGGCTATAGGAGGCATCAGAAGGCCTGCTCCAACAGCCTGTAGTCAGGAAGGGTCTAAGCAGACCCCAGATGACCACCAAAGGGCACTTCTACAGTGGCTGTCTGGTCAGGGGTTGCCTACCCCAGGCAGGAGTCCTGACAGAGCTGACCCCACTGGAACAGGGGTCCAAGCAGGCCATGCATGGCTCAGTACAGGTTCAGCCTGGGCTGAAGTCTCAAGTGCTGTGTGACTCTGGCCAAGATCTCAGTCTGTAAGATACAGATGACTAACTGCCACCCCTGACAGTCTGGTCAAGAACGTGAAGCTGTGACACAAGAGCTGGGTGGCAAGACCTGAGGGTCATTCTGTAGGTATCACCGTCCTCTGTCGCTGGGGGCCATGGGAGGCCATGCAAGGCTTCAGCACAAGAATGGGTGTCCCTGCCATCCCGCCCCACAACCAGTGATGGGTGCCATCCTCCAACCATCCTACAGCTATTTGAGATTCTGGCCAAGACCCCCTACGGCCATGAGAAGAAAGGTTTGTTTGGGATCGACCAGCTGCTGACAGAGGGCGTCTTCAGCGCAGCCTTCCCCTTGCACGACGTGAGTCTCAGGGCTGGGGGCTGAGTTCCCCAGTGTTGCTGTCTGTCCTACTCACAGGAAGCAAAGGAGCCTGCCCCCCTCCCTGGCAGCCACGGTCAGCCAGCGTGGCCACCCTGAGGGTCTGGAACACTGAATGCACACCCCTGTGATATCACAAGCCAGTGCTGGAGGCTGAAGATTCTGCTTGCTTTCTGCTGTTGCTGGGGTGCCCTGGCGACTATGCCAGGCCCCTGCTCCAGATCCTGAAGTTTGGTTTCTTAGGCAGTGTGTCTTGCTAGGGGAGACAGGGTGGTCTCCTACACCTCCCCAGGAGCTGAGAAAGCTGAGGCAGTGCAGGGAGGCACTCACAATGACTGCACCTGGTGCTGTCCTGATGCCCACATTACCAGCCTACAGGCAGCCCACCTGCAAGTCAAGACGCCCTAGCTTTCCTGCAGCTACCCGTTCACCAAGCAGATGAGGCCTGCACAGAAACATCAAAAGGCTCTGAGTCAGGCTGCACAGGGCTGTGAGACTATGGGGACAGTCCCACTCAACACCATGAGACTATATGGAGAAGTGGGTATAGAAATGTCAGGCACCCCCACACCTTATCCTGCTGTGCCATCACTCTTCCTGACAGCTGAGCTGGGATGCACAGGGAGTGGCTCACTTGACCACACAGCACATCTGCCTGGCCTGGAGAACCCCACGAAAGTGTCAGTCCACCTGCACCACAGTTACTGTCTTCCTAAGCCAGCTTCTCCAGGTTCATCCTCTGTCCTGAATACTCAGAAGTCTTAGGGAGCTCAGCCCACAGGTCCCCTCAGACCTTCCTGGCCCATCCCAGGCCCACCCCCAGCATGATTGTTTTCTTCCTACAGCAGCAAGCAAGCCTGGTTTGCAGGGTCTGTCTGCCATTCACCTGCACAGGAGGGTGGGGGTTGCAGCTCTTGATTAGCTCTATAGTTCCCACCTCGAAGAGTGTCATGTGGGAGGACTGAGGGGACAGAGCCAGGACCATGATGGAGCAGCCCTATCCAATGGCCTCTTGTTCCCAGGGCCCATTCTCTGCTGTTCCAGAGAGCACAGAGGTCAGCCAGCGCCAAGTTTTATTCCAGTACTGGGCTCGCTGGGGCAAGTGGACCAAGTACCAGCCCCTGGAACATGTGCGCAGGTACTTCGGGGAGAAGGTGGCTCTCTACTTCGCCTGGCTTGGTGAGTCCTGTATTGCAGCCCTTTGGGGTCAGCCAGGGTGCCCTGCACTTGGTCTATAACAATCCCCCTTGGGGAGTTTACTGCCAGGCTTTACTCGACAGCTCCACCCCAACCCTGACCATGCAATGGGCCCTAGAGGCTGCTCCCAGACCCTGGTTTCCCTATGCCCCATTCAGGGCACTGGGCGCCCCTTAGCTGGTGGGACCCCTCTTGACCCCAGCCAGCCCCCATAGTCCCTGGTGGGCAGCTCCCTCAGGAAGTCCTACCATAAGGGTTATAAAAGAAAAGGGAAGATATCTCTGTGGGGGCCCAAGATAAGCTGTTCTCTCCTCTTCTGACAGGCTGGCACCTTCAGAACAGTCAGCTGGGCTCTGCCCTCTACTCTTCCTTCCCCATCCCCTACTGGGCTGAGCTTGAGTCCCCAGAGAGCATGCCCATCCCTAGGGCACAGCCATCCTAACGGATGGGTCTCTGGATCCCCTCTGCAGGGTTTTACACAGGCTGGCTCCTGCCTGCAGCAGTGGTGGGCACAGTAGTGTTCCTTGTGGGCTGTTTCATGGTGTTCTCAGACATACCAACGTAAGTGTCCCTCTCCTCAGTCCAAAATTTCCCCTGTGCTTTATAAGGACTGTGTGGCTAGGGAATCCCCAAGTGCCAGACTCTGTGTAGAGCTAGGATGCAGTGTGTGGTAAGCACACTCCTGCTTTCATGAATTGTCACAGGTCTCAAGGACATGGCTAGAAGGCTGACTAGACAGGGATGAACTGGACAGGGACCCAGGTGAACAGAGGTGCCTCAGGCTGACACAGGCGGACAGGGGTGCCCCAGGTTGACACAGGTGGACAGGGATGGCCTAGGTTGAGATGGACAGGGATATCTGTAGGCTGACAGGTAGATGGGGTGTTCCCAAGCTGGTATTGATACCATTGTTCATTACAATAGGGTGGGCTTTTCCTATAATAAATGACTGGCTTTGTGTTTTACTTTAGTGTGGTGTTAAAAGTCTAAAAAGTTATCTGAAAATTATTGTCGTATTTATTTATTATTTATTTATTTATTTAT